TTTGGACAGCGACAATATGTTGTGCAAGCATGAACACGCTGGGTGACCAGCTAAACCAGCACCAGAGCAGCATAAACCAGCTTAGACCAGGTTAAAGGACACATGACACATGAAAATGCATGAGAAATGTCAAGTGTGACTTGAGAGCGTGAGATTAGACCTGAATGTCTAAGTATCACGGCCAATGCGTGACAGTTATCAAACCTGACAGGGTTTTTGTAGGGCTTTACTTCTGTTCAGTGAAATGCCTACAGCTAATAACCTACTAATTAAACTACTATTTTCAACAATTCTCTACAAAAAGACTTGAGACTTGACTCAGACTCATACCTCAGAAACTTTACTCGGACTCATGTGAAGCAACTTGTGAACATCTCTGCTCTGAAGAGCCATTTAATATTCACAAGATACATGCAGTCAAATGAGAGGATATGGCTTCTATTTCACTGTTTCACAGAAATCAACAGAGAGTAGAGATCAGCTGAATTTGAATGATGGCAGAAGCAAAGGTAAAACAACCAAAGGTGTAATACTTAGATTACTCATTTAATCCGATTATAGCTGGCAGGTTCTATTATTATAGAAATAATCATTAGTTACCGGACCTAAAGATTTTTGGTTCTGGCTAAGAATGTTTATTTCTATGCAGTCTTTCTCAAAATAGTGTCATAAGGTTGGGACCAACATTTACTGGTCACATGATGTAATGGCCAGCAACAAAAGAGTTCTGCTTTTCAGTAATGTACTTCATACTCCAGATAGATGATCCTAACCACTACTGGACAAGCTATAAGAATGCTTTAAGAACAGCAGAAAACACCCGTTTCATTGAGTGCTCCAGTTCACCTGGCCAGGGGCACTGATGAACAAGGCCAGATCAACAGAAGTCAGCTTGCATTAGTCCCGGGTCCGGCACTCCCTCCGCAGGCCTCTGTCCCGACACAGGGGAGGCTGCACTGGGTGTCAGCTCGATTAGGACGGTCATGTGCTTGCCATGCAGCAACAAAACCCCAAGAATAACAAAATTTCATGCTTTGGTAGATGCTTCAGGCAGTGTCAGCACAAACCAGCTGAGGCCTTGGCACTACTTACCTAACATCAAAGCCTTTTATTCAGGCAGCACTGTACACACTGTATAATGAGATAAAAGAGGGTATATCTAATCACGGTCTTATGAGTTTTAATACCATAGCCCATATAATGCTAGACTATCAAAATCACATTTACCTCATGTGACTGATTTTTCAGACGGCTGAACGAATTTGCAGCGCTCATTGTGGAGCACGCAAGACTTCATGAAAGGGAAATAATATGCAAACAAATGCAGTCAGACTCAAGAAAAATAGACACACTTCACCTCAAAGGAGAGGGAGACACATCTGCTCTGAGAGGTCTCACAAAACAGCCCAACTAATATGAGCAAAAAGCTCAAGCAGAGAACTTTGCATGAAGAATTACAGTAGCAAGTTTGCATCTATCATATCAAAAGCTACATTAGGGTCGTCTATAGAAGGGCAAGTGCACAAGGCATCAGACAACGTAATTGGCAACGTACATCCTGTGAGGTAGCTTTTATGGCCATAATCATTTTGGATGTCTGGTTCCTATCACCACCACTGTAAAGAAATCTGACTCTAAGTTTTTCTAGAATGGCTCATTTCACATCAAACCACTTTGTTTACATCTCAATGACTGAATTATGCACACATGTTGAAAAAATAGCGGAACTACCCCTTAATAAAGGTGGAACTGGGCCTCCCTTCAATGGTCCTTCAATTATAACTGATGGAAAACAATAATCATTACTATTATACAACTCAACCCACCCTCAATACAAAGGCAAGAGGGTGACCAGGCCTTCAAGCTAAGGACTCTTTGCATATCTGATTTAAGCACAGTTCTTGATTAGCTCCTCTGCATTCACAAAATGTGAAGTCAAGTACAAGATTTTTTTTTTTACTGCACCGGTCCAGCTGGTCTGGAAGGTGATCCCCACTGAGAAATCCACTCCTTACATGAATTAGCAGAAGATTAAGATATCGCTACCCTTTTACCCCAGAGCCAGAGGAGAAAAAAATCAATTAATTCATTAGGAACCAGCCCCAGTCCTAATAAACTAATGAGCTATTCTGCTGTATAATATTATCACTCACTGAGCGGGTCTTATCCACAAAGAAGCTTCCAGGATAAATTAACTGCAACAACAAACCATTAATATGTATGAAATGATTAGAGCTGCAGCAGGGGGCATGTACCCATGACTAAATATGCATTGCTCTGGCTCCTGGGAGCTGACATGACAAAGCTCCATGGCTCTTACATCCCCCCCTTTCCCCTCCTGTCCCCCTTCTTATCCAGTACTTAAATGGACCAGGTTTTTCAAAAACATTGTCACAACTGTAAGATGGCAGAGTCTCATGTCGAAAGCCATAGTTGATCTTTCAGAACGTCTGTATAATTACATTGTCAAGATGTAAACAAAGTCTTTCAGAGTGATTTGATGTGAAATGTGTCATTCTATAGAAACGAGTCAGGTCAGAATTGCCTATAGTGGTAGTGATAGGAACCAGACGTCTGAAGAGTTTAATGCCTCTAAAAGCTACCTCCGAAAATTACTACATGAAATGCTTACAAATATGTTGCTTGCTGCTTGAGGTACTGTTTTACAGTACTTGTGGAAAATAGTTTTGACCTAAAACATCTATTTTTCAATACATTAATGGCGGAGAGATAATGTAGGGTGTTGTAAGGCAAAATAGTCCCCAAAGAGAATGTTTTTTTTTTTTAGATTTACAACTATTTTACTGTTATCAACATTACATATCAAAACTCAGAAGATATGTGTAGGTTCACTGGTTGTTTTGGATAGTAAACAAACTGGCTATACTTGCACTGTAGACATCGGGACCCCTGGTTCCTATCACCACCATGTAGTTTCTCTACAGTGCACCATTTCACATCAAACCACTCTGAAGTTTGGAAAAATCATTAGAATTTTACTTTTATTAATGATATTAAAGCAATACTTGGGCAAATAATTCTAGAATTTGCCCTTAACCTCATATGTAGCCATTTACAAAGACATGTTTTGTGCCCAAAATTTGCTTCTTTAGTATCACAGCTTAACCCCTTAAAATCCCAAGCTTATTATACTAAGGCTTATTATTCAGTAACTACATGGACTTCAGTGCAAACTGGCTGAGCCATTCTTAGGTTATAGAAGTGTGTAATAAAACTTTGGGCCTGCCCACGAGTCCTGGCCATGTAAGGGGTTAATATGGCCCTATACTAAGAAGTAAATAAAAACATGACTAACACAAACTTAGACAAATTTGCAGCTTCAAGGTGGCTGTTATTACTTTTTATAGCTATGTCACATAAATTTGTCCAGAAACCAAATTTAATATTAAGTCAATCTGATGAAAGTGTGTAATGACAGTTTGCGTGATGCTAATTACAGTACAGAAGCTTCCATTAGCTACATTAGCCTCATAGCTCCAGTGAAAAAAGGGAAAATTGTACATTTGTCCATTTTTCACCAAACTATTCCTTAAATGATACAACACCTTTGTCTTCTATCGAGATCATTTAAATTCCTGTTTGATAGACTGTTAAGCTTTTCGGCTAAAGAGCTGACAGCTTCACTACACCTTCACATATGACTGTGTTCAGTTAAGCATTGCAGTCTGCTGACAAAACACAGCCACCTAAATGATTTCTTCCCACTTAATCCATTTACAACTTAATTGCATGTAAGAAAACGGATGACTTACGGCTTTCCTCTCTTTCTGGGTGAGACACAGTGCCAGGGAACATCTACCAAAGTCAACTAAAGCTGTTTCCAGCTGGGAGCTGTGCAATAGCAAGGGGAGGAGAACTGTGCCATCTTTTCAGCACTCAATTCAGATCTTTCTTAATTACAGACGGGCCAACTTCCTAGGACTCTGCTCCATGAATCCACAGCTCCTTTCACTTCAAAGGTAACTGTATATCCGAGCGGAATGGAGAGTGGGGGTCTCAGGCAGCAGCACTGCATGTCCAATGTGTAACAAAAAGCAAAGGAGGATCAGAGAAAAGGCATGCATGACACTAAGTGACGGTCAGGAGTTCAGCACAAATTTTATGCAATTCCTGAAAAAGGAAAACGGAGCAGCATTAGAGGGAGCGGGCCAAAATGTTTGCGGCTGGGAGTTTGGACATAGGAAGAGCCGGTGGTTACTTTGCGGCGAGTGGGACCGCAAGCAAATGAGACACAGGAGTATCACCAGCCATGAGTGCAGAGAGGGAGAGAAAAAAAACACAGCCGAGGGGAGGATAGCTCTGAGCTCACATTAATATTCCTCTAATGTCCCCGTGGAAGAAAAGAGTACTTGCAAAAGAGTTTGCACAAACAACTCTAGGCAGACTATGAAGGGTCCACTCGTGACACATCCACTGAAACAGAGGTTAATAATAATGTGCTTTTCTCTGGATGACACCATCAAACCCATCCAAACTTAGTCAGGCACTTGAGACGGAAACATCTGACCACACCAGAACAATTCCACATGCACACATCAATGAATGTATGTATGAGTGCATGCATAGCAAAAGGTGAAATGAGGAGGATGACCAGTCCAGGAGTCCAACGGCTAGGACAGCATGGCAGTAGATCTTTCCAGACTCATTATGACTATGCACTGACCCTGAAGTATCACAGGCCACACTAACCAAGTTCACTGGACTGTGGTCACCTCCACCAGCTGCCCAACCTGAGCTTCAGTTCATCAGTAGAATGGAGCACACTGAAGTCAGGAGGGCCGTCCTATATAAGAACCCTTTGTTTCTAAACTGTAAGCTACTTTCAACTGAACCGCACGGAAGTCCACGCTAGCGCTCCTGCTCAGCATTACGTAATCGCCGAGTCCATTTTAAAACGGCAAACCCGCGCTGACCGAGCCGATCGGAAGAAAACAGCATTAGCCTCGACGCCACGAAGTAGCCTCCTCCAAAAAACTCACCGAGTGCTCCGCGCTGGGGTGCGGATCTGGCCGGCGCCCTCCAGAGCCAGCAGAAGAGGAGCAGGAGGGAGAGCGAGGGGCAGCGGGGCGCCATGCTCACGGCCAAGCTCACACAGAGTCCCGAAACAGCCCTAGGGCCATGGTTCCGCTCGGGCTGGCATGGAGAGCTCCGCGCCTGGATGCCCACTCCCTTCCAGAGCGAGCACACTGCTCCTCCTCGCGCTTCTATTGTCCTGTTTGGGGAGGGCGGAGAGGGGGGTGGGGTGGGGAGTGCGCGCTCCCGCGTCGAGCCATGCCCTCTGCTGGTGGAGCGAGAAGCCTGATCCTGAACTGCCTGAGGTCCCTTAGAGAGGACATCAGCTTTTCTTGAGACATCTACAGTGCTGTGCTGAAGTCAGAGACCACCCTGTACTTATTTAATGTCCAGCCATTAAGAAGTTATTCATTTTTCAGGAGATTTCTGAGGAGATTAGATAAGGAAAGTGAAAGTCAAAAGACAAAAGTGGGAAAACAGGAATGAACTCCCAAAACTGGAGAAAATGGGACTCGAAGACCATGCAGCTCCTGGTAGACCACCAAAACTGTCACCATTAGATAAACTGTACTTATTAAAAAATAACAACTTTTACAATTTAGTCTATTTAAAACACCTGGTGACACTTTAGGAGGGTTAGGATTAGGGTCAGGGTTGGGTTAGGGTCTGGGTAAGGTTGGGTAAGATTAGGTTTTTGTGTAATGGAAGCAACATATTAACAATACATCTTCTTAATGTAAGTAATGTAGCAACAGAACATCTACAAGACGTTTACTTCAGTGTATACAGATGCTTCACTACTGCTACCTCACTGATATGTTGTCGATGTGTTACTGATAATCTGTTAAGAGTTTATTAATCATCTACAAACAACCACTCCAAATGAAGTGTTACCAAATATACAAATTTGGTATTATACAATACAATTTAGTAGATGAGAGTTGTAGCAGTAATTCCATGTAATTTCTGTGTTGTTTTATTCATTCTGTCTGTTCTAGTTTTATTGATTTAGATATTTTATATTTGTTCTAATTTCTGTTTACTACATTATTGTAGTGGATTTTTTATGCATGCTTTATGTATGTGTGTATATATATATATATATATACACACACACACACACACACACATATATATATATATATATATATATATATATATATATATATATATATATATATACATACATATTCATGTCACTGTAAGTTCAATGTCTAACCTTCCCTTGTATAAATAATGAGATGTAGGAGAAAATTAAGCTCCACTAGCTCCACATCCTTCCTGAGAAGACAACGCTATGGGTCTAAAAGGATGTGTAGCTACCAAGAAACCTTTACTAAGGAAAGGAAACTGACAAAAAGAGTCACAAAAAGAGTCCAGACCTCAACATCACTGAATGTGTTTGAGAATACTTGGATTGTAAAAAGCAGAAAATGCAACCAACTTTTAAGACTGAACTTGCAGTAAAGATTTATTTGGAAAAATGAACACAAGTCCCCCAGAGAAGAACGGAAGCTGTAATAGAGGCAATGAGTGAACACACTAAATACCGAAAATGACATTATATTTGTGGACGATTATGTGTAATTTAATTTTAAGTATATGTTTTTTCCTTTTTTTTCTGACACTGCAAAATAAATAATTTAACAGCGGTTGTCTTGCGCTGTGTACACTTACTATATATCTGAACAGAGCACATTGAAAAAGATTTCACTTTGAACTGAATTCATTGAATGATTCAAACGTGTCAAGTGGTTACAAATGAATAAAATGTGTTACACCAACACAATTATTACCAAAACAAGTAACCTCAAAGAAAGTAGCACAGTGATTAACACTTCAAGTGCTGTAAGACCAAGCATAATACCAAACAACTCTGGGATTGGGATTAAGAAGATGAAGATGAAGACCTCTTACTTCTCAGCAAGCTTCCAAAATTGCAGAGGCTTGACTCTGCCTGGCCTGCAGATTTTAGCACTGGAGGAGTTGTTAAACTAAACCAAAGCAGTTCCACCATGAACAGAGCTTGATGAGGCACAGCGGCTGAGGAAGAGGGACTAGGGTCACTTTGAAATGTGGAGTAAAAGATATTCATGTCAACAACTCTTCAAAACCACATGTTAATAAAACAAATAAAGCCTGAACTTGATTGCTGTACAAGAATTTCATTTTGTGCCAAAACTTTTATGACTTCGCAGACAGAAAATCCTCACTTCTCAAAGAAAGAGCTTGTAATGCAGGATCCTCCGTCACACCATTTAAAATATATGCACTGGTTAGAGAGCTATAAATCTGCTAAATCATCTAAATAATCTGGATAATGCAAAATGGTACTTTGTGTCATAAACATGTTCAGTAATACAAAGTTGGTCATTCTTTTGGAGACTGCTCTGCAGGTAGCTCCTGTGTGGCATCAATGTCATCTTCATCTTCATCAATCGGTGGATGGTTAGGCTTGAAGAAACCGCTCTGTGAACAGACTCCCGCTGAGACTAACTTACCTCTAAAATTTTTTTATCATAAGTAGCACAGTAGCTACTATTACAACTGCACTGTGTGAATAAGCACGGCACAATGGCCTCTAGTGTTCAGAACAAATGTGCCAGTAATTAAACGTTTTACCGTCCCAGTTAATGATAAGCCACTATCAAAGGTTAAATCATAAGAAAACCATTTTATTTGGATATAAACTGTGGCCAAGAATTATATTAACATATGTATTTAAAAATGTCCCCGATGATAGATCACGTCAAGCTCAGAACAACATACAAAGAACACACAACACTAGTGTCAAAATAACACAGTATGCTGCCAACAAGATCTTACTATACATAAGCATTATTTTAAAGAAACATGAAAGAAATCTGAACGTAAAGTTACATTATGTAAGATCTGTGAGTTTGGAGAACATTTTGTAATGTCGGTTGTGCCTCAAACCCCTTCCCCAAGCAGATGAATCTGACGATCGTGAGCATATTCAAAGAAAACTCAGTCAAATTTGGTGAATGTAAGTGAATTGTCTACTATTGTCATCATATCTTCATCAGTATAATGTTGGTTTTACATTGGAATCATAAACATTGAGCCAGACCTTCTTTTTGTGCCTGTGACATTAATATGCTGCGGTCTGAATAACTGCTGTGAAACTGATGCCTCTGCCCTTAAATGATAATTTCATGCTTTACAGGATGACTCACAGCAGCGCACAGATTTCATATTTGAATGTGTTTTCTTTTCCACTGATTCCGTTATGCTACTTTTTTTAATTTGTACAAAAACACTTACATAACGGAGCTTTAAATATCTTTCAGAACTGTATTTGCTTTTGAGCGGAGTGCTGTAATCAGGTTCATTCTTTTGGTGACTGCTCTGCTTGCAGCTCCTGTGTGGCATCATCATCATCTTCGTCATCAGTCGGAGGACGGTTGCGCTTGAAGAAACCCATCTGCAAACAGACTCTTGTTGAGACAAACTTATCTCGAAAAATTCTCGAAAAATTCTCAATACAACAAGCAATAAGCATGGCACAATGGCCTCTAGTGTTCAGAACATGACAGTACCTTCCAGAAGATGATGCTTAGCATAGCCAGGAGCAGGAGTCCGGCAATGACCGACACCAAAATCCACCACACAGGCATTTCTTTCTGACCATCTGGACTCCTCCAAACCACTGTAGTATTTGTCTGCCCACAGACCACAGATAAAAACTTACATCAATCATCTCTTAACCCCTGAACCACTTAACTTCTCAGGGCTGTTATATCCTAAGGTTTTTTCTTCAGCAATCACACGTAAAACCATGCAAACTGACTGTGTTATGCTTCATGGTTCATGTATATACGAGCGAGGAATGGAAGTCTGGACCTGCTGGCAGCTCCTGGGGGCCTTTATGTAAGCTTCAGTTCCTCAGTCTCATTTGTAATCTAAATTACATTTTAATCAGAGATGGTTAGAAAAGTCTGAATAAGTAAAAGTATCATTACTGCTATGAAATAATAACTCAGTTTAAAATAAATTTGCCTAGCAAAAAACAACTTGTGTAGCAATAAATAATAGCAGGTCAAAAATATGCTGAAGTACTGATTTTCCTATAAAACTGTGGTAGAACTTCTTGGCACATCCCACATGTACCAGTATAGAAACTGAGGTACAGTTCTTCTCTCTGTGGGTCTAAAATGAATTCTAAACTCTTTTTTGTGCAACTGTAAAGCAGTCCAGTAGCTGAACCAACAGAGCAGAATGAACTCAAACACAAAAAGGTGAAGCTGATTAAAAAGTACATTATTTTCCCCACAAATACACTGGAGTATAAATCAAAGCTATATCAATTGAAATGTACATAGCAGTCAAAAAGTGTGATGGACAGGTGGACAGATGTAAATTAGCTGTCTTTTGTGACATCACAAAAACAATTAATTCAATATGGGCTGTTTTTGCAGCATGGTTTCCATATCTGGACTGCATGAACTGGGTACACGTTGACATATTAATTCAAAGTAAGGAAAGCTAGGGAAATTCAGTTTTCCATGATATTGGCCCTTTCAGATTATAACTCCATTTCCCAAAAAGTTGGCATGCTTTGCAAAATGTAAATAAAAACAAAATGCAATGATGTGCAAATCATTTAAACCCTATATTTCATTGAACATAGTTCAAAGACAACATATCAAATGTTGAAACTATGAAATGTTTATTGTTTTTTGAAAAATAGATGCCCATTTTAAATTTGATGCCAAAAACACATTCCAAAAAAGTTGGGAAAGGGCAAAAAAAGGCTGGTAAAGTTGTGCAATGCTAAAAAAAAACACCTGGTGGTTAACTGGAAACAGTTCAGTAATATGACTGGGTATAAAAAGAGCATCTCAGAGAGGCGGAGTCTTTCAGAAGTAAAGATGAGGAGGGGTTCACCACTCTGTGAAAGACTACACGATCAAATAGTGCAACAATTCAAGAATAACGTTTCTCAACATAAAATAGCAAAGAACTTTTGCTTTTCATCATCTACGGTACATAATAACATTAAAAGATTCAGAGAATCTGGAGAAATCACTGTATGCAAGGGACAAGGCCAAAAACCAGTATTTGTTGGCCGTGATCTTT